GCAGGAAAAGATATTAAATATGGGGAATATATTAAATAATAATGACACATAAATAAAAAAAATCAAGGTTGAAAAAAATAAGTTTCACTGAACGAAGAAGCATAACGAAGCATTTAGTCCACGATAAAGGAAAAGAAATAACAATTAAATCAATTAAATCAATTAAATCAATTGAATCAATTATTGAATCAATTATTGAATCAATTGAATCAATTGAATCAATTGAATCAATTGAATCAATTAAATCAATTAAGTCAATTGGATGATAATTTTCCACTAAACAAAAAGGGTAGGAGTAGTTGTTGATTATCGAAAATGGTTAGTTGAGTCTTATTGATCCCTAAGAAGTTGTTATTAAAATCCCCGTGGGAACGAAAACCTAAACATTTGTGTTATAAATTTTAAAGTTTGAATACTATCAATCTCAACTTAAATTATTTTTAAATTCAAAACATAAATATATATATGATTAATTCTTTAGCGAAGGGATTGTTATCAATCTGTTATCATTACCAAAAGAATGGGAATGTAATTTTGAAATATCAATTATGCAGGGATCGGACAAAATTCCCCTGTCCGCGTGGCTACAATTGCATCGCTGTTTTTCTTGTCACATGATCATACTTTTAGTATAACGATATCTTAAATATCGATATCTGATATTAAAAATTGCTGCGTAAAGCATGTAAGGCATGAATGGTAGATTTGTAGATATGGGAAAAATACAATGATCTTCCATATTAAATTTAATTGAGAAAAAAGATACGTAAAACAAGAAACATGAGAAAAGCTTTCTTTGGTATTTTATCAAAGGTATGTGCTTACGGATTTTCAACTATAAAATTTATCGATCAATTCATAACGATAATGGTAATTTTATGGAATACGGGATTCGTTGATGTGTTACCCCACAAATTGTTACATGTTTTCTGATTGGTGTATACAAATATATATTATGTATAATGTATAATGTATAATATATATAGCATTTACGTAATATATGTGTATCGAGTATGTATCGAATAAATATAAAAAAAGTTTTTCATAAAAATTTGACAGTT